TCTCTCTCTCTCTCTCTCTCTCTCTCTCTCTCTCTCTCTCTCTCTCTCTCTCTCTCTCTCTCTCTCTCTCTGTGTCTCTGTCTCTGTCTCTCTCTCTCTCGCCGTGATATCTTGTCAATATCTCTGACTGGAGGTGTGGTGTGTGCCTTGGTTTGCGTGGTGTGTTTTGTATTCGTTGTGAACACCAACCAGGTCCTGTGATACTGCAAAAGCGGTGGCACGATCACTTTCGACAATGGGTTTCAGGAATGTGTATGTGGTTCAAGGAGGCTTCAGTGGAAGCACGGGGTGGCTGCAGAGCCGTCTAGGGAGCGAGCCATACTACTTCGGGGAGCCGATGATTCTGTCACCATCTCGCATCCTCTCTGGGACCAAGCAAATTCTCACTTCCAATGGAGGACGCAGTTCAGGCACGACCAGACGCCAAGTAGATGCTGAAATTGTTCGCAAACCTCGCCTCTCCTTACCCAGTGCGAGAGAGTAGACAACAACATGCATCTAGTAGCTATTCACCCATCTAATCTTCTCTCTCTCTCTCTCTCTCTCTCTCTCTCTCTCTCTCTCTCTCTCTCTCTCTCTCTCTCTCTCTCTCTCTCGATCTCTCGATCTATCTGTCTGTCTGTCTGTCTGTCTGTCTGTCTGTCTAATCTATCGATCTATCTTTTATTTTATTTCTCTTTTTCTATATAATATCTATGGCTATTTTCTACTCGATAAGAGTCCACTTTTAGCTATAATAATTATGACTCATGCTGTGGCATTTGGTGGTCATCGCCATCGTTTATCATCATCATCATCATCATCATCATTGCGATAATCACGTATGGCAATAGCAGCAGCAGCAGCAGCTGGATCTCTCTCAAAAGCCCTATGACAAGGCCTGCAGAATGTGCGGCGAAGTATGTGAATTGGATATAACGACTCATTCAAGTATATCACATACATCATGTGATATATCTGGACCTCTTTTGACAAAAAAAAAAAAAGAAAAAAAAAAAAAAAGTATATCACATACATCATGTCATTCCTAGGGAGGGCATAAGACTTGCTCACGGCTTCGAGGGTCGGAAAATAGGTGGTACTATAACCCCTTCTGGGCAGCCAAGGTCCTCCTGGATGGGGATATTGTTAATCCTGGCTTGTGGATTATGGGGGGAAGTTGGGAAACCCTGTGGGTTATAGACCCCCTCCAGCGAACCGAGGTTCTGGATGGGGATTTACAAGGGGTTGATAACCAAGGGGTTGATTTGCTTGTTGCAGATTAGAGGGGAGACGCCGGGTGTTACATAATCCCTGCAATGGGGCCAAGGTCTGGAGCGGGGATTTATATCCCCATCCAAGGGGGAGATTTGCTTGCGAAGTAGAAGGCGGAGAAAAATGAAGGGTTTTATAACCCCTCCCAGAGCACCAAGTTGTTCTTAGATGGGGGGCTATGATCCTTGCTGTCAGGTGAAAAGGGAAAAAGGGGAAAAGCGGAGGGGCTGGCTACACAAGCCATCCCCAGGAGACAACGTCTTGGATGGGGATTCATAACCCCCCAAACTGAACCCCTTCTAAAAAAAAGGGCTTCCCCCCTTCCCTCCAGGGGGTTGAAGAACAGCCCTTTTGGCGTGATGAGGGGTTGTAGCTGCACACATTAATTTTGCCATAGGTGTGAAATTACCTGGTGCTTGCATTAGTCATTGCTGCTGCAGTCGTTGAATAGACAAGCAAACTTCCTCTTTCTTTTCCAGAGCTAAGGTTCTGAAGTGGTTGGGGGCCTTGAGATTCTTTATGTGGTGGTGGTGAGGCGGGGGGGGGAGGGGGAGAGGATGTATTTTCCTGTAGGTGATTGACTTCACTGGCTTGTTGTTTTTACTTCTTTTTCAGAGGGTCTTGCCCCTCCCCCCCCCCCACTTTCTGGACTGGAGGGTGTGAACCGGGTCGGAGTGAGGGCTTGGTGGGGAGAGAGGGGTGACCTAATGGTGGGAGGAGTTAAGTGAGTAGATGGGTTATTCACAGGATCAGTCCAATCAGGGATTCAAGGTTGTGCAGCTGGTCATCGCCACCTCTAGGCAGGAGTTGTCGGAAAAAGGACTAGGTTCGTCTGTTTTGAAGTTTTGACAAACGGGCTTAGTAGCAGATGGAGACTGCTTCAAAAAAAAGAAAAAAAAAAAGAAGAGATGGATGGAGACGGCTGTACTTTTTTGTGATCTCGTCTTATGATTTGATTGCCGTCGTGCATTTGACCTAATGGTAGTTAAATTGTTCGGATTGGAATTGAATCTGGGATTCTGGGATATTCACCACCTTTTTTGTGGTACGGGAAATTTTCACCCAATGTTAAAGTTCTCTGGTCTCTGGCCAATCATTCCCTCTCTGGATGCACACTTATCCTCGTCCTTCTTCTTCTTCTTCTTTTTTTTCTTTTTTTTTTTTTTTTTTTTTTTTTTTTTTTTTTTTTTTTTTTTTTTTTT